GCTCGTGGTCTGCTGGGTGCGGCGGGGGCGGGGGGCAAGAAAGAAAACTGAGCAGCATAAGTGGCCAGGCACAGACCACAAACAAGAAACCATCAAAGTGGATATTCTGACAGTGCACACACGTCCAACCATTTCAAAAAATGAGCAAGTGAATAAGAAAGAATGTCAGCTCCTGGACAACTGACGAGAACAAAGGGCAAATGCAGCAAATGAACAATTCTCATTGTCAACAATCCATTCAGCTCTACAAGCGATCATGGGTAGCATAGGACACTGAAAGTGTAGGTAGGACAGACCTTCAGCTTCTACTTGAGGAGTATCTGCTCCAGCTGTCTGTGCCCAGAGGCTCCCACGTGCTCTATATGCAACATCCACTAGTGTGGAGGACCAAAGGCTGGGAAACCATCAAAACCTGACTGTGTGTGTAGTTTGGGATGGCTTCAAAGCTCATCCTTAAGCTTGGAGCTCTTGGGAGTAACATGAGAGCTTTTGCTTTGAATGTGCGCTTAAGATCCTCCATCCAAGCTGCATGGAGGATAAGAGCTGGTTCCTTAAAGCACCAGATGGCGAGCTGCGCTTCTGCTTTTCTGAGCTGAATGCATATGATCGTAGGGCTATTCGTTTCATGGTGGCTGCCTGCCCACATCTCTCAGCTTCTGCTATAAGCGATAGTTGAATACGTTCTTGAGGTGTTGTGCCAGCAGTGTAATATACATGTAATGGACTGGGCAATATCCAGCCTTAACTGGGTAGTGGGGGCATTGGGTTGGCTTGGGGGAAGAAGGGCATGCACACAGTTCATTACTTTATTCAGCCCCTCCCTCTAGCCTGTGCTGGCATTGCCCATGCCCCACACTGAGCAACTTTTGCTTGATGCCGGGGGAGGTGGAGACATGTTGCTGTCTGGTTTGCCAGGTGAAGTGCTGCTGCCAGCAGCCTCAGCTAGCCAGAGAGGTACTGGAAAATGGCAATTAAGAGGCAGGAAAGGAAGACAAGTATCCCATGGGGTTTGCATGTTTGCCCCAAGACAGCAGGGCATTGCCAGACACTTCCATAGCATCTGAAAGGGCCCAAGGGACAGGACTGAGGCTCATGCATCCTACCTCAGAATGGGCTGAAATCTGGATTTCAAGCTTTCTTTTTCACAAGTGGGCGGATTAATTTAATGCTCTGAAAAGCAGGGACAAGCAGTACCAGGCTGAACGTGCATAGCACAAGCAAGATTCCTGCTGCTAAGCTCTGATGATCCACCTCAACCCTGATGGACAGCTAACCTCACTTTATATCCTAGACTTGTGTTCTCCACAGTCCTGCTAACTGCCCTTAATCCTGGCCTGGAATTTTACCAGGAGCCTCACCACCCTTGAGGGCTAGTGCTCTTGCTCCTATAGCTGCCTCCCTGCTTCCACCCCAAAGGTATCCCAGTTCTGGCCCACAGAGGCTGAGACGTAGCGACAGTGCTTTCTCCAGAGCCCTTCCCACTGTTCCAGCCTTCACCTTCTCCTGTAAATTATCTGTCTGTGGAGAGTGCAAATGAAGCTTTCTAGCCTTGTTTCCCTGTTGCTTAGCTGGGGCAGGCTGTGAGGGGTGGTGCGAAGCAGTGCAGAGACAGTGCTCATAAAGGCTTAAGCAAGGCCGAGGGAACAGCTATGGAGAAATGAAGCGCTTTATCCACACTAGCCAAGCCAGGGAAGCAAGTACCGCCAGAGCCCTACCACTGCCCTGCCAACACCATCCCCCTGACCTTGATGGATAAACCTCCCTGAAGGCACAAGGCAATTTAGTCGTTAGTACCAATTACACTTCTGAGCCTCTGGCTGCAT